CCAAGGGTTAGCGAAATTCTTGACGCTTCGCGTATCCCCACCAGTTATCCCGCCTGATCCGCGGCCCCCGCGCGCGCCCGGGAATTTAGTCGCGGCCGCAGCCCGACCGCGACTGCCCGCCGCCGGCGCTTCCGCCTGCGGCTGTAAAAAAAAGTATCCCCACCAGCCCATCCTACACCAGGCACTCGAACGAAGAGCGCCGATGATCGGCAGCTGTTCTCCTCCCCTCTTCCTCCTTCTCCTCCGCCTTCTCCTCCTCCTCTCCTCCTCCTCCCTCTCCTCCTCCTCCTCCTCCTCCTCCTCCTCCTCCTCCTCCTCCTCCTCCTCCTCCTCCTCCTCCTCCTCCTCCTCCTCCTCCTCCTCCGCCTCTTCCTCCTCCCTGGTGGCGTATTGGAAGTGTCTTCGAACGTTTTGGTGGGCTCTTGGGCCTTGCGGGCGGGCGGGCGGCGCTCCGCCCGCCCGCGCGCAGGGCCCAAGAGGGGGTCCAAGACGTCTCTCGGAGCCATCTTGGAGGAGATGGATCAACGAAGGGGGGTTCCTAAATTTCAGCCCCCCCCTCAGGAGCCACGATCCTCGTGAGGGGTGTCGAATTTTAGCCCTCCCAGGGGTCGATCTTGGACGCTCTGACCGATCGCGGCCCCCCCTGTCCAGGTCAGTGGGGAGGGGGTAGGCGGAGGGGTAAACCCCTCCCCGAAGGGGAAGAAGGAGGGGTGGAAGAGGAAACGCTCTAAACCACCGACGCCCAGAGGGCTGGTGGGATTAGGATGAGGTGTCCGAACCGTCGATGCATCTTACAGCGCGATGGAGGCGGACGGCTCTCTTTGGGCGGTCTCCGCTCGCGGCTCCCGCGGCCGCCTGCAGACCGTCCTCGCATCCCCCCCGGGCTCCCCGATGTCGAGGAGAGGTGCCCAACGGGGATCCTCTGCCAGCGATGCCCACGGGTCATCTGGAACCCATTCGGCCTGGTCGTCTGTGGCGAGAGCGATCCATGAGCTGGTCGCAGAGGCCAGCCCTCGAGGTAGTGGCGGGCGTGGTCCTGGCAGTAGCGGTCGAAGGTGGCCAGCTCCATTATCGGCGTGTCGTGGTATTCCAGCTGGTGTTATTGGGGAAGCTGGTTCAACACTGCTGGTGCCCCTATGCCGCTGATCATGGCCCTTTGGGTCTGAGCATCTTGGTCACTGGGGTCCGATAGCCTGTCTACAAGATCGTGTTGGAAGACTGTCCACGGCATGCGCACCGTGTCGGGCGGGACTCAGCTCTGAGTCCACATGCAGGTGATGTATGGCGTGCCCGGCGTGCCCGCCATCATCGGGCTGGTCGGCCGTGGCCGGCGGCTGGCAGCCGGCGGGCGTCGCCGGCAGGCGGCGGCCAGCGGCGGCGGCCGCCAAGGGACCGGGGAGCATATCGCCTGGCCCCCCCCCTGGCCTCCGCCTGGCGCGTGGCCCAGCGCGGGCTTCCGCCTAGCCTCCGCCTGGCCCGAGTCCGCCGGCTAGCCTTCGCTCGGCGCAGCCTCGGCAGCCGCGGCCGGCGGCCGGCCGGCAGCCGGCGCTGGCAGCCGGCGGCCGGCGGCAGCGGCCGCCGGGAGGCCGCCATGCAGGGGGCCGACGAGCGCATCGCCCGGCCCCCCCTTGGCCTGCGCCAGGCGCTCGGGCGGGCGCGGCCCCTCAGAGGCAGCGGCCTCCGGGCGGCTGCCCGCGCCGGGCAGGTGGCTGCCTGGCGCCGGGGAGCGGATCTCCCGGCGCGGGCTGCCGCCTTCCTCGGCGGGGCTGCCTGGCGCGCGCTGCCAGCGTGCCGGCGCCGGAGGGCGGGCCTCGTCGTCGTGGTCGTGGGGGTGGTCCGCGAGACTGTCGCGGCGGCTGTCGGCGAGGCCGTCGCAGGGGTCGTCGCGGGGGCGGGGGCGGGGGCTGTCGTGGTAGCCGCAGCCGTTTTCACGCCCGCCTTGGCCGTCGCCGTGGCGGGGGTCGTCCTGGGGGTTTGTCGCGGGGGCTGCCGTCGGAGAGGTCCTCACCCCGAAGCCGTCGTCGAGGGCGTCGTGGGGGGCCGTCGCGGGGTCGCGGGGCAGAGGGCCGTCGGTTCGGTTGTCGCGTCGTCCGCCCAGCAGCCCGCGAGGGAAGCACTGCCCGCGTAGCCGGGGGAGGCCGTCGCCAGGGCGGTCGCGGGTGCCGTCGTCGGGGCAGTCGCGGGGGCCGTCACCGGGGCCGTCGCGCAGTGGCCGTCGTAGGGGTTCGTCGTCGTGGTGTGTCGCGGGGGCACTGGGGTTGAGTGGGAGGTCGCTGGATGGTCGTGTGGGTCGCCGTGGGGGCCGTAGCGGGGGTCGTCATGGGGGTCGTCGCAGGGGTCGTCGCAGGCGTCGTTGTGGGGGTCGTCGCGGTGGGCGTCTCCCTATGACCGTTTCGCCGGGTATGCCCCTTGCAGGCTCCCTCTCGGGGCATGCGGCCACTCGGGATGTCGAGCCGACCCCGGGTGAGGTGGCGCCTGCTGCGGGCTGTCCAGCGGCCCCTATGGCCGCTTCCCCGGGTATGCCCCCCACGGGCTCCCTCGCTGGGGCATGCGGCCACTCCGGGCTCGGCCGGGGGGTCGCGGGGTCCGTCGCGGGGGCCGTGGGGTGGTCGAGGGGGCCTTCGGGTCGTGGCAGTCGGGGGGGCAGGCGTGGGGTTCCTCGGGGTGGCTTCGGCTGTCCCTATGACTATGACCGCTTCCCTGGGTATGCCACCCACGGGCTCCCTCTCAGGGCGTGCGGCCACTCGGGATGTCGAGCCAGCCGCGGGGGAGGCGGCGCCCGCAGTGGTCTGTCCAGCGGCCCCTATGGCCGCTTCCTCGGGTATGCCCCCCACGGGCTCCCTCGCAGGGCATGCGGCCACTCGGGGCTCGGCTGGGGGGTCGTGGGGCCTGTCGCGTGGGCCGTGGGGTAGTCGGGGGGGCGTGGGGCTCCTTGGGGTGGCTTCAGCTGTCCCTATGACCGCTTCCCTGGGTATGCCCTCCACGGGCTCCCTCTCAGGGCATGCGGCCACTCGGGATGTCGAGCCAGCCGCGGGGGAGGCGGCGCCCGCCGCAGGCTGTCCAGCGGCCCCTGTGGCCGCTGCCCCGCGGCATGCCCGCCACGGGCTCCCTCGCAGGGCATGCGGCCGCTGGGAGCTCGGCTGGGTGGTCGTGGGGTCCGTCGTGGGGGCTGCGGGGTCGTCGAAGGGGCCTTCGGGTCGTGGGGCAGTCGGGGGGGGCAGGCGTGGGGCTCCTTGGGGTGGCTTCGGCTGTCCCTATGATCGCTTCCCTGGGTATGCCCCCCACGGGCTCCCTCTCAGGGCATGCGGCCACTCGGGATCTCGAGCCAGCCGCGGGGGAGGCGGCGCCCACCGTGGGCTGTCCAGCTGTCCCTATGGCCGCTGCCCCGCGGCATGCCCCCCACGGGCTCCCTCGCAGGGCGTGCGGCCACTCAGGGCGCTGCCGTCGTGGGGGCCGTCGAGTGGGGGGTCGTGGAGGCCGTCGGGTTGTGCGTGGGGTCGTGGGGGGTCATGGCGTGGTGAGCAGGGTAGCAGGGACGTAGGGGGGGCAGCAGGAGGCCCTGGTTGTCGCCATGGCTGGCGCTGGCCGGGAGGAAGATGGCCGCCTCCTTCCTCATCGCGGAAGGCGGCCTGACAGCCTGTGCGTAGGGTCGGGGGTGATGCTCGTGGGGTTGGGCGTGCGGGTGGGCGTGCGGGTGGGGAGGGGCGGAGAGAGGAGCGCGGGGGGGTCCGTCGTCGTCGGGGCGGGCGTCAGGCACCAGGGGGGCATGGGGGAGCGTCGCTGTCGACGTCGGCGTCCTCCTCTTCACTCCATCCCTCCCCGTGCTTTAGGGCTATCAAGCTCGTCGAAGTCCCTGTGGTCGTTGAGGCGGCTGATTGTCGTTTTGCTGTTGCCACCTGCTTGCGGACAGCCTAGCAGCAGATACGCGTCCTCGATGCTGATCGGCAGCTGCGTACAATGAAGACGTCTGCATTTTCGAACTGCATATCCAAGGCGTCTCCTGGCCTTGGTTTCCGCACTGGTACGAGGGGCCATGAAGTCTCGAAGCTCAGAGAAAGGGGCAGTGAGGCGGAGGTGAAGAGCTTCGGTGTGCGATCTCGTGCAGTCGCGGGCGCCCGATTTCCACCTGAGGACCGGCCGCGGCGACTGGCAGCAGCACTCGCCTGAATCGCTCGGGCGGGCCACGGCTTCCTCCCCCTGCTCTTCCCCCCCCCTCCTCGGGCCAGTTCTGCAGGTCGGATCCGGCCCAGGTGGCGACAACTTATCGCAGAGGATTCGCAGAACCCAACGGGCGAGCTCCCCGTCGTGTCGGTGGCTGCCGCTTTCTCGCTGCCTGGACTTCGCCCTGGTTCGGGGCGCGCGCGGGGCCAACCTGGGGTCCTACAGGCTCGGACACATTTGTCACAACGCCACACTCAGGCCCCTAACAACAACCGAAAGACAAATAAAGCCTTCCGCGCCCAACCCCGTCCGCCACAGCGGACACGTGGTCCAAGCGCCCCCCCCATCAAATTCTAAACGGGCTTGCGCCTGCGAGGGCCCGTTGGATCATCCACTCCTTTACTTGTAATGTTAGTAAGGAGAGTGGATGGAGCTTGGTTTCGGCGATTCTGCCCAAGACGTCCTCACAACTTGCTTGGTTTCGCCTCTGGTTTCGGCTGGTTTGGCCTGCCGCCTGAGACATCCTCGCAATGTGCCAGGTTTTGCCCCTGGTTTCGGCTCTGTTTCGCATGAGATGTCCTCGGGATTTACCCGCACTCGCCCTTCCCCACTTCCTCGCCAGCGGTCACTCCACGAGTTGCCCTCGGCGTGAACATCCGAAGCGCTGTGTTGGGCCACTGGTATCACATGGTGCAGCCATCGCTCACACAAATTTTGCTGCTGTGCTGTCCTCCTCCTCCTCCTCCTTCTCCTCCCTGCCTACAGTGTCCTGGAGCCCCGCTCGCCACGCCCGCCTCCGACCGTTCTCCCCGCCCCCCCCCCCTCTCGCCCCCTGCAAGGTGGGCATACCGGAGGCCATGCCGGCCCTCCGCCTGCTGGACGGCACCCCCCAGTCGCACCTCGTCATCTACGAGGAGTCGTCCACGCGCGGAGGGGGGTGGGGGGAGGGGGGATGAAGGGGGCCGCATGCGAACCCTACCCCTGCCCCCACGATTTCTGAGGGGGAGGGTGGGGTTCACTTCGTTCGGGAGCTTCCGAGCGAAGTGAACCCCACCCTCCCCCTCAGAAATCGTGGGGGGTAGGGGTAGGGTTCGCATGTGGCCCCCTAGTTCTTAGAAGCACCCCTGCTTCTCAGAAGGCGCAGGCCTTATCTGATGTAAGGCCAGCGCCTTCTAAGAAGCAGCCTCCTTCTAAGAAGCCCTCCCCCCTCCCTCCACCCCCTTGTGCGCACCGCCACAGGAGAGCGGGGGTGCGGGGAGGGGAAGTGCGAGGGTTGGTGGTGGGCGAAGGAGAAGAGAGGAGCAGGGAGGGGGTGTGGGACGAAGGGGGAGGGGGGGCGAAGGAGGGAGCAGCGGTGGGGGGGGCAGGGGGGAGGAGCAAGGCTCGGCCGCGCACCACGGAGGAGAAGGGTCCTGGCAGCAGGGGGCGATGTGGACACCTCGAGCGACGCGCGACGTCGTTTGCCGACGTTTGGCTTCAATGTGTTGTCCGTGTGCTTTGCCCGACCTGCTCTTCAACACAAGGAAGAGAAGTAAATATGTGTTTCACTCTAGTTGCTTCTTCGGGCAATTACGAAGTCGCCCCAGAGTATCAGTGGGCAGCCACGAGATGCCTCTGAGGAAATACCTAGATCTGCTTGGTTTCATCATGACACCCTCCCCGTCCCCTGTCGAACTGGCGCCATGCCGAGGTGACCCTGACACTCTCTGAGGTTAGTCTCCCTAATTTCTCTGTTTCCCTTCCCTTACCGCGGCCGTGTGGGGAGTCGCGCATCGCGGGCGCGGTTCAGTCATACATCAAACAAGATCAGGATCATGTTAGTTTGTTTGCCGTCTGGTCTCCTGACATCACACCAACTGCGCGACCCACAGGGTAGTACAGAATGACAAGACGTCTTCCCCCCACCGTGGATTCCGAATGTTCTGAATTCACCGCCGCAACGTGCTCCCCGTCTCCCAGGGCAATTAATTGACTGACAGCCAACGACCAAAACATGTGCATAGACGGCTGGCCGTCCTGCGACTGTCCTGGGCCGTTGCTGTGGTGTCTGAGGCCTTCGTGGTGCGCCCGGAAGCCGTCGTGGAGCCTTTTTGAAAGCTTCTCGGGATGTCGGGGGTCGAACTTCCAGGTTTACTGGGCAGTTGTGAGCCTTGTGGAAGCTCACGAGGCGAATGTGCTGGAAATGTTTGTTTTCCCCCGGGAATGAGACGATTTTTGCTTTGGGGGGCCCTCTTGGAGCGCCTCGTGGACGCGCTGTCCAATGTCGGGGCCGTCTGGAGGCAATCTTGGGCGGTTTGGACCGAATCGTCCCCCGCGTGGGCCGTCTGGGCAGCCTTTGGGGACCCTTTTGGCGCGTTATGGAGCCCTCTTGGGACCGTCCTGCGGCTCGCCCGGGCCGTTGCTATGATTTCTGGAGCCTTTGTGGATCGCCTGGAAGCCGTCGTGGAGTCTTCTTGGGAGCCTCATGTTGGAGGCTTCTTGGGCCGTTGCGGGCCGCGCGGAAGCCCAAAAGGCGAATGTGCTGAAAATGCACGTTTCCCAAAGGGAATGGGACATTTTTTGCTTCTGGCGGGTTCTCCTGGGGCGCCTCGTAGTATTTTTTCAAGAGTCTTGGGGACTGGTGGGGCCGTCTGGAGGCAATCCTCGGCGTTGTGGAACGATCCTTCGTCGACTCGTAGCTTTCTTGGACCGTTCCCTGACCGTTCTGGATCTTTTTGGCTGGTTTTGGGGCCTCCTGGGGCTCCAAGTGCGCGGCCGGCACCTTTGCCCCCCCCTCCAAACCGGCCAGACCGGGCCCCTGGGGGAGGGGTTTGGGGAGGGGGAAGCATCTCACACGCTGTGACCCAAAGGGGTCGGCGGATTCTCGGGCCTAAGCCGCGCCGCCGACCCCTTGGGATGTAGTAGATGCCTGTCAATGGGGGCCTCGTGTAGGCCTTTAGGGGGTCTGGTGGGCCTCGTGGGTCTGGGTTGCGGGTTTGACGCCCTCTTCCTCCTCCTCCTCCTCCTCCTCCTCCTCTTTCTCCTCCTCCTCCTCCTCCTCCTCCTCCTCCTCCTCCTCCTCCTGGCTCAAGACCGCGGCCTCTGGGGGCCGTGGTCACCATTGCACTGCGCCTCTGGTCAGGGCCAGGGGTTTAGGGCCCAAACCCGCGCTTCCTCCCGCCCCGCCTGGTCCGCCCCAGGCGCAGGCAGCAGTGCCTCCGAATGCGTGATGTCTCGTGCGCCGCCCGACGGAGTGTGGCCCCTCTTAAGACATCTGGCAGCGCCGCCCGCCGAGCACGAGCCCGCGCCACTCATGCGCGAAAGTTCCAGCAAGCCAGCTGCAGCGTGGCTGGCCTCCTGGCGGCTGGCGCACCCCCCGGCCTCGACATCAGCGAGGCGCACCACTGGGAGTTCAGCTACTGGTACGACGTCAATTTCCGAGTTAGACGCTACCGTGGAGACAGCCACCGGGAAGGCTTTCGACACCAACGAGCACTGCAATTTCGAGAAAGTGCTCGAGCTACACCCGCAGCTCTCGTTCACGCGGGCCCTCCCGCCCCAAGACCGAGGACTCGCCATAGCGGATTTCTTTGCGCTGTGGCCACAGTCGGCGGATGCCACAGTCAAGACATCCACGAGCACGACCGTCGTGGACCTGCAGGCCGACGAGGTGCTGGCTGCGCTGGCTCCTGGCGCCCGCCCGCCCACCGCGTACGACGGCCCCTTCCCGAAGGCTGCTGTTGGAGAGGACGCGGGAGCCGTGCCTGCTGCTGCGACGGTAGATCGCCCTACCGAGAAGTCTGTGGAGGATGTGGACATGCAGTTGGCCGTGTCGCCCGAGGACTCTTTTTGTGCAGGCAGGCGTACACAGGCAAACCGTACGCGATGATCTCGGCCTACGAGATGATCACGAAGACGGTGGCCGACCCGACTGTGGCAAGGATCACGGAGGTCCTAAAGCCGCAGCCGCCGCCGATCAAGAGGGCCAAGTTCTACAAGGCGTCTGGCATCTCCCCAGACAGCAAGGGCCTGATCCCAAAGGTGAAGATGACCGCAACGTTTGCGGCCATGAAAGTCAAGGGGCAGACATACCTCGAGAAGCTGATGGTGGACAGGATATGGTCATGGCTCCCGCCTGGTCCTACAAGAAGCCTGCTGGCAAGTGGGTGGAGCTCCACCACCAGAACCAGGACAACTGCGCCATCGAGAGGCGCTACCAACAGTATCTTCGAGACCCCAGTGGCATGGCAAAGTCCAAAATTAAGTTGCTGGATGGATGTATATGCGTTGTCAGTTTCTCAACAATGCGTGCGAAAATGCCGTCCAACATAAAGTTCCAGCTCAAGCGTGACGCGATTCAGGCTGAGTTGCCCGACAGTGAATGAAGGCGGCCCGCTCCTCTGGCCGCCGCCCGTGCCTGGCTCCTCGTTCGATGGGGCTGACAGCGTGCTGTCTGTGCGAAGGCGCAGTCTGCAATAATATTGACAGAGTGTGCCTTTGCGAATGCTCTGATTGTGTGATCAGGTAGACGAGCCACCTCTGGCGCTTCCCTGGTCTTGTTTGGCGAGGCGTGAAAGACCCCCTGAGGGTCGGCGGAATTCTCACTGCAGAGAGCACGGTCCGGGCGTCATCCCAAGAGTGCCGCCGCCAGTCCGATCGTGCTCAGCCTCCCCCCCGTGCCGCTGGCGCAGCTGCTCAGAGAGGCAGTCCAAGCCAGGCAGGAGGCCGCCCGCCCTAGAGGACAGGTGGCCCGAACTCATCATCCAACTGCGTGCTGGTCCTCCTCCTCCTCCTCCTCCTCCTCCTCCTCCTCATCCTCATCCTATAGTCGGCGTTGGAGGCTCGGACATTTTGAAATCCGACGGGGAGAGGGAACTCTCTCACACGACGACCGGCCAGCAATCGCACGGGCCTCAGGGAGCAGGGGGGGCATGGCAGATGGATGGCGGTTGCAGTGCTTTCGATATGCGCACTGGTGGAACTGGTATTATACAATCCGCTGGCGGCGAATACCACGGACAGCCGGGAATAAATTAGCTGTGCATTGCAAGAGTGGGACGCGGTTGTGCTGACAGGGACACATCAGTGGGCTGGTCCAGAGCCGATGAAGAAGACGAATCATAGATATCATACGGCGCTGCAGTCCGGGGCAAAGAAGGGAACGTTGATCAACAAACCATGTGGCACGATGCTTCTGGCATCCAACGAGACGATGAAAGACAAGCCCTTCCACCCGCAGTACACGCCGCCTGCGCAACTACAAGGAAGGACAGCAGGGGTTAGACTGCGTACGAGATCATACGACGTCACAATCTTCGCGACGTACTTGCCGCCAGATAGATGGCACGCGAACAACGGGGCGATTTCAAGAAAAATTCTGAAGTGGGTGGAAGACAGGTGCGACGACACGGGCGGCAGATCTACGAATAGTGGAAGGGGGCAGCAACGGCCACTTGGGGGCGCACAGGTCCGACAGCAGAGATCTGTTGTAAGCGGGCGCAGCTCGGGCAAACGCGCGGCAGCATTGGGGCCAGTTGCCGAGGGGGCGGGGAACGATAGTGGAACATTTGTCAGGGAGTGTTGCGTCCACAGCTCATTGTCAGCTGTCGCGACTTGCATCGAGCGCGGGCCTACTTACTGTTGCGCGAAAGACGAGAAGCTCGGGGCGAGCAATACAGACCACCTAGCGATGCCGCCGGGGGGGGGGCACCCCGCGCGCGGAGGCGCGCTGCGTTGAGAGGAGCGGCAAAGCAGTGCAGAAAAAGACAAACGATAGGACACAGAAACCACATCCCTTCGGACACGAATTCTGCATCAATTTCATGTCTCGGGCATGCGCCGAGAGCAAGGGGCATGCGCGGAAGTGGGCCGAAACATGCTGATGGAGTGCCAGAGGAAAGGTCGCTTGCGGGCGGAATTCTGGAGCGCGTTCGAC